TGGCACTTCACAGATATTGTGCTTTTGGCCCCGGTCACACGGCAAAGTTGCCGTGGGAGAGGCACGGGAGTCCTGCGGATTTTCCAGCCGTGATCTCACCCCAACATCTGGGAAGCGCAGTGCTCCCGTGGCTCCCCACCGATGGTGTGAAGTTAAAAACTAGTACCTACGAGGTACTAGTTTCCTGAAAACGCGGACCAAGGGCGGGCGTCTGATCGCGTTCCCGGTGGATTTATGTGGCATCCGGCGCCCGGCGCTGTTCGTCTTCGCAGGTTGCGCAACAGCGCCCAACAGCGCATGCGCACAAAGAGCGATTGCTAGTGTGATCGCGCAGCGTGGCTTCTGTGCTGTGCTGCAGGATACCCGTCTGATCGGCATTTCCCCCGAACCCCAGGACCTTGACCAGGACGTGTGCTCGGGCAGCCGCGCGTTAGTTTCCTCTGGGGCAATTGGCCACGCCTCCCCCGTGATATCCGGCCCTGTGACTAGGGCCATAGATCCTTTTAGGCTGCAGGATTAAGTACAATAAACCCTATTGAATAACATGGGACTAACTTCAGAGTAGGTCTGTTTATGATCACTCCCCTAGTGTAACTAGAACTGCCAGCTTTGGGTTGAGAAATACCTGGTGATTTGGGGGTTGGAGCCTGAGGACAGGGTTTGGGGAGGGACTTCAATGGGGTGTAATGCCATAGAGTCCACATGCCAAAGCAGCCATTTTCTCCAAGTGAACTGACCTCATTTGGAGTTCAGTTGTAATCCCAGATCTCCAGCCAACACCTGGATGCTGGCCACCCTAAGTGTAACAGGAGAAGTGAAGATAACAAGCATTTTATTTGTTTAAAGTTCAGTGGCACCTTTAAGACCAACAATGGTTTATTCAAGATATGCGCAAGGCCCAGGAAAGCTCACACCTTGAATAAGCCTTTGTTTCCACGGGACTCTAAATGTGTTCTACTGCTTCCGACCAACACGCCTGACTATCTGGATATATTTTATTTGTTAGTCTTCTCAGTTCCTTCTTATGCATTCGATTTTAAAGATCGACCAACACCTTTTGGAAAGAAGATATGATGGTCTGTCGAGGGAGGCAGGAGCAGTATTAGTAGGATTAAAAAACTGCGTATGGGGTGCGCAGGGTGCCCACTAACAGAAGCACAACTCTTTCATGGTTTTACATTTCGAGAGCTACAGCAGGCACAGTCCCCACGGCCGCTGCCGTCACAGTCCACCTGCCTCTTCCAGATCCTCAACTTCCACAAAAAAACCCCCCGTCAGCACAACGCGGATGTGACTGTCTGGCGACTCCCCCTCTGCAGAGACGGTCGTGACGGGAGGACTCCTTCTTCCCTAGGCTGGGCTGAAGCGGAGGAAGCGAAAGGTAACAGCCCGTCCCCGCCAGGCTGAGTCTCCCCCACGCTGAGCAGGGGCGGGCCGGGCCCATGGTGAGGAGGAGGAGCAGAAGCCGGGACTGGGGGCCAACGGCGCCTCCAGTCTGTCCTGGAGGAGGCGGCAGCGGCCGCGGCACCACGAGGAGGAGGAGCTGCGGCAGCAACAGCGGCGGCGCGGAGCTGGAGCAGCTGCCCCTGAACATGGCGGCAGCGGAGCAGCACTTCACGGAATCCGCCGCCCCCCTCCCGCCGTCTGGGTCGGTGCCGGTTCTCTTCTGCTTCTCTGTGTTCGCCAGGCCTTCGTCGGTGCCGCACAGCTCTGGCTATGAGGTCCTGATCCAGAAGTTCCTGAGCCTCTACGGCGACCAGCTCGACATGCACCGCAAGTTCGTGGTGCAGCTTTTCTCTGAGGAGTGGAGCCAGTACATAGACCTGCCGAAGGGCTTTCTGGTGAACGAGCGCTGCAAAGTCCGCCTCGTGCCGTTGCAGATACAGGTGGGTGACCGCCGCCTTAGCCAGCTCTTGCCGCCTCTCTCCCTTCCCCGGCTGTCCTCTCACACCCACCTCGCTCCAGTCAGCAGACAGGGGAAGGAGGAGAAAGATGAAATCTCCAGGTTAACTCTACAGACTGACGAGGTCGGTGCTGATTCTCCACCTCCTGCTAGGCGCCAAGAGTGGCGACTTCCCTGTCAGCCAACCACCTCCTGCAGCAGTTTTATCCCCACAAATCGAAATAATAAGAACCATTTAGGTGGTGTCTTCAAAGTATGCTCAGAATGCTGCTCATGCTACCCCCCCCCCCTAATCCTTGTACACACCTCCAAACTAGGCCAAGTTCCAGGATTGTAGATGGAGAACAGAGGGAGCCTGATAAAGTCCATGTGGTGAGGAATTCTTAACTGAGGTCAGTTTGAATCCGGGGTTTCTGTATTGTATTTTTAGTCACCTCTACACCAGTTCTCATAAGATCCGATCCTAAGTGTGTTTAGTCAGGAAAGGTCCGGTGGGTTTCAAGGGGGCTTGAAGCTATGCATGCACTGGCTGTTCTGTTTTCAACTTAAAATTGCAGACAGGTTACCACGAAATAGAGGAAGGAGAAAATCATCTGATCATGGAGTGGTGATGTGCTTTCCAGATTCTTAGTCCTTTGGAAGAAAGTCAGGAGGAGAAGGAAACTGAGAAGGAATGGATTCTTTCCCCACCTGTATTTCATAATCACATAGGAAATGGCTATTCTGATCCATGATGGCCTCAGTGAGTATGGCAGTTGAGGTGGTCTTGATTAATGCCAGAATTCAATTCAGCAAAGGATATATTAGAAGTGACATCTACAGTTAATAAGATGTGTAAGGAAACTCATTAAAAGTTCTCAGCTTCGTTGAGCAACATTCAGGGAAGTTGCTAGGGAGAGTAGGGTGGAGGGTGTGCCCTCTGAAAAGGGAGCTGTGAGATCAATGATGGCAACTTTTCAGTAACTGTCAAGACAGGGCAGTTGATTGGTACTATTTCCTTTTTTATGGTACAGTAAACAGCCTCATTTTGCTCAGTGTTAGATATGCCTAAGTCCATTGTTTAAGCAAAAGTATAGAATTTAGTTCCCTTAGAAATTTCTGGAACTTTCTTTCCAGAAAATGTGTTCGAAATTTGTGTATGCACCTCTTTATGGCATATAAGGGATGTCTTTCTCAAATTCATTTACTGACAAGAGAAGCAATACACAATGCCTTTATTAAATCTTACTTGAGAATCATTAAGAAGTACTTGCATTTTCTGTCTTGAAGTATAACTTTTTTGTGTGGTTCTTTAGTTATCTTGAAAGTGTACACAAGAATGTTTAAAGATGTTAACTACCCTGCATTGAATGACCTTGAGTAAGCTTAAACTTTGATCTACGGAGCAACAGTGTTCACGCTAATCATGTAGAGTACTTGGAAAGTAATTGCTACTGTAAACAGAATCATAATGTTTAAATAGGTTTAAAACTGATTCCCTTAAAAATCTCTCTGTAATGCACTTCAACTGTTGAAACATTTTGTTCTGTTTTATGGTATTTTTTAACACAAATTGTGGTTGTACCTACCATTTGTACCACTAGGGTTTTAAAATATGCATTTGTCAGGAATTATGCATTAGACATGCATATAATGGAGTTACAGAAGTATAACTGATATCTGGATAAATGTGACTATCAGTAATATTCATTATTTCTAGTTTCATGAATATTTGGCATAATGTTTTAAGTAATATTTTCCTTTTCATTCAGATAAAATACCAAAGCCTTAAATAATTTATAATAGTTCACTATGATTATCTCCAACATAAATAACATTTACTTTAAGGATACTGAAGTGAGCTTTGCATACCTAGGGTTAAGCGGTTTAAGGATAGGATGCTAAATAACTTACTGTTTGGCATATCTATGTTCTATAATTACAGCTGTAAGGCTAGAGTCTTAAATAATCTGGATAGGCTGACTTTAACTTGGTGGGGCTTATTCTAGTGCTATGCATAGAAGATATGAACAGTACAGAAGCTCCTGGATTTGTGTGTTATGTTCCATGAATGAGAGAATATCCCTGGAATGAACACAGTATGTAAGGTAGCGCTACTGGCAGCATATCATTCTGATAATTTGTTAATCAGTATATTAAGTAAAGGAGCTGCAGTGGCTCAAGTGGTTAAGACGCTGAACTGCAGGCTGTGGAAGGTCGGTAGTTCAGCAGTTCGAGACCCGGGTTGCCGCATGACGGAGTGAGCTCCCGTCTCTAGTTCCAGCTCCTGCCAACCTAGCAGTTCGAAAGCAAGAAATTGCAAGTAGATAAATAGGTACCACTTCGGTGGGAAGGTAACAGCGTTCCGTGCACCTTGGTGTTTAGTCATGCCGGCCACATGCCGGACAGCGCTGGCTCTTCGGCTTTGAAACGGAGATGAGCACCGCAAGCCTAGAGTCGGATTTGACTGGCTTTCGAGCAAGAGAACCTTTACCTTTACCTTTATATTAAGTAAAGATGTTCATTATATGTCTTTCAAGCTATAAATGGACAATTATTTGATTATAAATAAGTTTCCATATTATGAAATTTTAATATGGGTGCTACTTTGAACATACTGAATGAAGTGTAAGATAAATTTGCATGTTACTGTGCAAAAGTTACCACTGTTTCAGAAAGGGGGAAAAAACCTATCTTCACGTTTTTGTATTATACAGTGTAAAACTCAACCCTGTGAAAGTCTCCCCCCCCAGCAAGTCCCATTTATGGTGCAATCCTTAGAAGAGGTTGCACTGTTCTAATTCCATTGAATGAATTTCTAATTCCGTTGAAGTCAAAGGGCTTAGAAGGGTGTAACTCTGTGAGGCAGCAATCTTATGCACACTTTTCTCGGAGTAAATCCACTGAACACAGTGGGACTTGGCTATTAGTATGCTTAGTATTGGTCTCTGTGTGTGTTCCAGGCTGCAGTCCAAAGCACATTTACTGGCAATTGGAGCAAACTGAAATTAATAGGATTTTCACATCAGCATGGATAAGATTACTATTAGCCGTTGTAAAGATTAACTATCATAAATATCCTGTTTATATTTGTACCAACAGGGACCAAAAAAAGTAACATTATTACATTATTTAAAAAAGAAATAGTGAAATAATTCAGAAATAAGGGAACTGTGTAAAGATAAGCAGAATCCTGTGGCCAGAATCCACAAGTACATCACTTCCAGATGTGCATGTAGTAGGGGACAGCTGCCCATTTTTCCTTTTGGCAGCACCTTCTTGTGCCTTGGGTGCTGTTCCAGGTTTTTTGTTCTTTGGGGAAATGTTCAGGGGCTGCCACTGGCAAAGCTGGGGAGATGGAAAACTTCTATGCATGTATGTCACTTTGAATCTCATCCCCTTAATGAAGATATTTTACCTTATAACATGCACACTTGAATAGTCAAAATTAAAAGAAGAAAATAGTGGATTGCTACATTTAGAGGGTTGCCTTAATGTTCTAAACAATGTTGGTGATCTGATTTTCATGTGTCTCATATTTACTTAAATCCAGGGAATTTATCTAGAGAACTAGTGTGCACATGTTTTGCTGATCTTTAAAATAGTTTGCAAGTACACAGAAGATGAGGCTTGAATAGCCAAGTGTAAGTGATTGATGCATCTTACTATTTTCCCGTATTTCCATGATGTTTTGTTCTTTCATGCCAATAAAGGTTGTGTGCGTGTGTAAGTACACCACTTTTGGTTTAATTAATAGTGATGCATATCTGGGAAGCCTTTTTTTAGAAGCTGTACAGTGTGCATGAATTTGGGTGATCAAAACCTAAGTCTTCTACCTGCAGGCGTCCAAATGGAAACTAAAAGTTCATGACCTGGGAGGTGCTTGGGCTTCAGTTCTTTCTGAAATGTAAATTGAGGTCTTATGTAACCTTACTATTTGTCAGAAGGTTGACTTAGCCATGGGTTAAGTATTTGATTTATTTATTTGATTTATATCCCACTGTCCCCATGAGTGGGTCCTAGGGTTGCCAAGTCTGATTTTTGCCGCAGCGGGGGACTCCCGGCTGGTGGTTGGAATGCGCGCACGCACCGCATCCACGTCACCCGGAAGTGATAAGACCATGCCGGGCATGCTGGGGGCGGGGCCACGACCATCTGAGGAAAAAACATAGAGTTTTCCCTCGGATGACCATGGGCCGATCCGCCAGCGGTGGGGAATGGGCCTCTGGGGCGGGGGTTTCCCCGCCCCCCAGGGGGACTTGGCAAGTCTAGTGGGCCCAGGGCAGCTTACAAGGTCACATACAATATTGTGACAGTGAAAAAACACATAAAATTCAACAATTATCTTGCATTCATGTCTTTTGCCCTCCATTGGATCATCGTTCTTTCTACGTGTTGTGTAACATTAATAAGGGTAAAGATAACATTTTAAGAATAGAGGATATAATACGGCTGTCCTCCAAACATGCCTACATTTTTCTGTCTGGGGCAAAGTTTGGGGGAAAACTCTGCATGTTTTTAGAACAATTTCAAAGTTTTCCATTTTTAAAAAAATATTATGGTTTAAATTGCCATTTCCAAAGCATAATATTTTCAGTTTGTTTTTAAATTAAATTTGTTATTTTAAAAATGCATTTTTATGCATTGGTGTTACTACATTTATGTTTCTGGTTTTCATTTCTCTATGTAAATATGTGTTAATGGCTCTTACCTTCAGAAGTTAATAAGACATTATATAAATGGCTAACCAATGGCTAACCTAGTAGGTTAGCAAAAATACATGGAAAGTTCGATGAGAGATTTGATATTGCCTTGAAGACAGTGCAACATTTTTCTACATGAGGTTATTATTATTAGAAGTAATTTTAAAAGACATCTAAAAAGTTAATAAGACATTGAAGTAAATTTAGAATACACATTTGTACTGACTGTGAGCCGCCCTGAGCCTGCATTGCAGGGAGGGTGGGGTATAAATGCGATAAATAAATAAATAAATTTGATATTGGGTCCAAACACAGATAAGCCACATGGATCAAATCTTAAAGATAATGGCTAGAATCTAAAGAACTGCACAATAAAGAGTTGTGGTAGGACTTCTCTATCTCAAACTGCAGTTCCCCATGGTACGTGAAGATATACCTGAGAATTCATTATTCATTTAGAACATATGTATGGTTACTCTAAAGACCTGCTTGAGTCTGCTCACAATAAAAGCATAATTGTTGTGTAAAAAATCCTGTTAGATGGAAATCGTGCTTTGGGATCTCCTAAAATAGCTATTTAGATCCAACTAAGTTATATATTTTTCCTCTTTGTGCAATAGTAAATCTCTAATGTTCTTCATTCCCTCAGCTAACTACCCTGGGAAACCTCACACCTTCAAGCACTGTGTTTTTCTGTTGTGATATGCAAGAGAGATTCAGACCTGCTATCAAGTATTTTGGAGATATTATCAGTGTAGGCCAACGACTGGTAAGTTTTCTTGGTTTATTAGTATAGCATCTACTTCTACCTAGTTCTTACCATTACTGACTGTTGTATCACTTAAATGGTAGTTTCATTCTCATCTGGAATCTTTCCTTTTGCAGCTTCAAGGTGCACGGATTTTAGGAATCCCTGTTATTGTAACAGAACAGTATCCTAAAGGTCTTGGGAGCACAGTGCAGGAAATCGATTTAACTGGAGCAAAACTTGTCTTACCCAAAACAAAGTTTTCTATGGTGTTGCCTGAAGTCGAGACTGCATTAGCAGAAATTCCTGGAGTTCGCAGTGTTGTTTTATTTGGAGTAGAAGTAGGTACTTTTATCATTTTTAACAGATTTTCTACTGCAATAGAATGCTGCTATTTAGGTAAACAAACATTATTTGTAAAGGTAACTTCTAAACTTATTTTTAAATTTATTTTATTGAATTTATATCCTGCCCTCCCCACAAACAGGCTCAGGGCTTGTTACATCAGTATCAGTGCAATATAGTACAATTAAATTAAAAACAACTTCAACACAATTTAAAACTGTATAGAATCATAAAATACCGTTTTGAATAAATTAGATCAGATGTCAATTAAGATGTCAGTCAGATCAATTAAGATACTACAGTGGGTTCCCAGATGTCTGTTTGGATCTAGGCCACTGATGGGAGATTAGCGGGGGGGGGGGGGAATGTCCAGCACGTCAACCAAAAGCTTGGTGGAAGAGGTCCGTCTTACAGGCCCTGTAGTCTCCTGCATTAGAGATATTTCTCAGTTTCTAACACTGGAATACAAATATTCAAGCTGTGAATACCGTTGTACTTTTGTTTATGTCTTCTCTTTATGTGATCGTTATGCCTATTTTGTCCTGTTTTTCTTTAAGACTCATGTATGCATCCAACAGACAGCTTTGGAATTGGTGGGCAGAGGTCTGGAAGTTCATATTGTGGCAGATGCAACCTCCTCAAGAAGTATGATGGATAGAATGTTTGCCCTAGAGGTAACTACTTTTGGATGGGTTTGCACTAAGGCTGACTAAAGTGATGATTAAAAGAAAAGTCTAAGAGTTATATAAGACAAGTGGGGGACTCACAAGAACTTGCAGGGAGTATCCCATTTTCTCCTCTTCTACTATTTCCTCTTTCCTTTACTTGAAAGCCCTGATAGCCTCTCTCCTTTTCCTGCTTCCCACTCACCACCCAACCTATCTTTATCTGTCTCCATCTTCAGCTTTTCCACCTTCCCTCCCCTAGACAGCCTCTACCCAGAAAACTATGTACAGTGCTAGCTGCTGTGCCAGACACAATTGTGCAATGGAGCAACCTGTGGTGGCTGTTACCTTGTATCCCTCTTCCAACACCATTTCCTCTTTCTCTCCTGATAACCCTCATATCCTCACCTTTACCTGCTTCCTTCTCTTTTTCTCATTCACCAGTCAATTTGAACCTGGGTCTTTGAGATTCTAGTCTGACACTCTAAATCACTATGCCACACTGGTTTTTGTGGGGTGGCTGCTGTTTAGCAAACAGCTAGTCCTGGGTGAGTCATGCAAGTTTTGTGGTAGCAAGTTGCCTGGTGGCTGCTCGATGAGTCCTTCATCAAAGGCCACAACACCCTGGGAATAGCCCTGCTTTTTACAGATAGAAACCAAGCTTGAAGGCTTGCAGTATGGATGTGGTTGCAAAGCAACCTGTACAATACCACTAAGACAGCATTCTTTTTTAAAAGCTGCAGTTGTGGCTTCTATTTTTGGGGTTTTAAGCCCTCGATGTAATTTTTGAGGATTTTCTGCAAACGTTTTTTAGGTTTGTAGAAAGATCTGCCTTGTCTGTTCATGGCTGCAGTGTTGAAAATTAGATGATAGGGAGGGAAGAGAAGTAGTAGCCATCTATTTTTCTGCAGAAGAATGTGATGATTTTTATCAGTTCATACTTTGGTGGTCTGCACTTAAAAGTTGGAAACAGCAGGACATTGCAACTTTTTATTCTAGAACTTGTATAGAACCTTTCAGATATAAAGTTTTAGTGACTAATAACATCATATCTTTGCTGTGCTTGTATGGGATAAAAAAATAAAAGGCAAGCTTTTCCATTAGCTGTAAAAATCCTTAAAGCTAATAACATCAGTGCTTTGTAGAAACAGTAACATTGATTAAATAAAAGCTTAATGTAATCTGTTGTGTAACACTAATGACTCAGAAGTAAATATAAGAATGATAATAGCCACAGGCGCAGATGCAAAGTGGAGTAGCGATAAAAGTCATGTTTGATGTTGTACCAGAGTTTACCTTCATTGTCACAGTTTTAAGAAGTCTAGGGCAAATAAAATATTAAGCTCTTTTTCTTGTCTCTTAGTGCTCCTAAAGTTGTTCTATCTGAGAAGAAGAGCAAATACAGTGCAAAAGTTAGTGTAAAGCTAAAACACAGCTCAAGCCAAGTATATTTGTCACTGTCAGTCTCTGTCTCAGATTCATATAGGTGTACATTGCAGAGCTGCCAAGATAGGGCATGCCTGGAAACCTGGAACAGTCACAACTAACTTTTTTATTATGTTCCTTCCATCTGGGAGTCCTACTAAATATAAGGAAATAATGTTAGCAGAGCTTTGAGGCATTTTCTGTTGAGCTGGCAAGTGAAATGAATTCTACATTCCCACAAACCTAATTCAGGGTCCTTAGAAGGTAATTAACAAGCAGAAAGGATATGTAATATTTTGGCTAGAATAGGAAATACAGTGCGAATGAATTTACTGGAAAACTCACTATCCCATACTTCAGTCCATCTTTCTCAGACAAGGTTGCAGGATTGTCTTGTGCTCCAGTCCAGTTAGCTGTCCAGAATTTGAATGCTGCTTTGAACCAGAAATGCCTCAAGAATCTGTGTTCAGATGCACACTATGCAAAAGGTCGAGTTTTCTCTAGGCTGGATGACTGTCCTAGGAGATACCTAGTAAAGGTTCATGTTTTGGAATAGCTCTTCTGGTCTGATGCAAAGACAAGCCCCGTGATTTCACAGGTTGTTTGCACAGAATGATTATGCACATATTTGCATTATTGCGGCAGTAGTTAATTTCCAGAAACTTCCATCAGCTCAATAAGTTTCTCAGGAATCCATCTGTCTTAATTCATCATCCTTTCATTGGGGAGTTGAATTGTATAGCTTGTGCAGGGAAATGGTTTGCAACAGGCATCCTTCTAGATACTGTAAATCAGATACTATTACATATGATTTACATGAGCACATAGAATGAACCTCTGAAGTTGTATTTTCACAACTTTTGAAATGTTAGTTACTAGCCTCCCTTTTCTTTGCTTATCAGTGTAAAACAAGCTGCCCTTACGTTATCACACCAATGCTGGACAGTGTCCTCAAATGTAAAACATCATAATTGGATGTCTTTTTTTTTTTTTTAAGAAATAAGATTTGTTGCCCAGGCTGTCTATTCTTGATTTTGGATGTGCCGGTTTGTTTGTTTTCCAAGTCTTGCCTCATTTTCTTTATCTGTTCTCTTTTTAAAAAGTAGATATAATGGTTTGTAATTTTGGTTCCTGGAAAACTCTATACATATTTTGAGTCATGTTGAAAAATGAAATGTTTATATTCATACACAGTACAAAGATTTTTTCTCTTTCCTGAAGCGATTGTCTTATTTTGGTTTAAATCATATATTTAACGGTTATAGTGGATATTTACTTATCTGTAATGAGCAATGATTCATTGTACACATATTAAAAGTAAATGTGTTTTTTCCTCTCAAGATAGTATTGCAAACCATGGTTTATCCATTTTTTGGATCCAGGTTTGTGTGGAGTGAACAAAATCCAGTTCACCTAAGTACTATTATTTGAACGTCATGCGAAACCAGAAGTTTTTTCAAACCAGGCATCCATAATTGCACTGTGCTTGAGTAGGGATGGGGGAGAAAAGAGGTACATGTGTGAGCATAGCAACATGGCAAGCTTGTTTGATTTCTGAATGCCTCACTAAAATTCCTTGAATTCTGTGGATATTTTCACCTTTTAAAAATATAGTACATTATTGCAAAAAGAAAATTAAAGGCAGTGGTTTTGTTGCTGTAAACTGACCAACAAGATACATGGTATGTTCTCATCCATTATTTGCTTCTGCTTTTTCAGCGTTTTGCTCGCACCGGGATTATTGTGACTACTAGTGAAGCTATATTGTTGCAGCTGATAGCTGACAAAGATCATCCCAAATTTAAAGAAATCCAGAACCTCATTAAGGCAAGTGCTCCAGAGTCGGGACTTCTTTCCAAAGTATAAAGTGGGTGACCTTGAAAGAACCTTGGCAGTAAAAGGAGACTTAAAGCTGTAAGTGTACATACACACACAAACACACACACATACCCCTCTTCTTCTCCTGGCTGAAGTATAAAACCACAAATTAATGTATTTATGCTTGCCTTAGCAGAATTTGTTTGGCTTTGCTGTCAAAATTCAGTTAATCCCTATTCTTAAATCTTTGGGTACTACAGAATTGTTTTGTTTTAAGAACAAAATTTAAAAATAGGTGCTGTTTGTCTGTACTGTACTCACTGATTGTAACGACTCAACAAGAATTCATGTTTATGTGAAAATTCTCTTGATTGTATAAATGTACTGTGGTTTGTTTCGATTTTTGTACCAATATTACAGTTTGTATTAGATAATAATGTATGTTTTAACATTCTACAAATGGAACCATATTTTAAATAAAATGGAATATATATATACACATTGGAGGAAAAAATGATTATTGTTAGATAAATAAACAGTGGTGCAAATAACACAGGTCTGTTAGACTAGATAGATTAAGCTTAATTAGCCTGATGCTTGTTATTAATTATCGAGTGGTGTTCAGAAGACCTTTATAGTAAAGTTTCAAGTGGCAAGGTCTATAGGTTAATATTCACCCTAAAATCATAAATACTTCTGTCAAAGTGTTAATTGGGCTATCTGAAAGATGTTGATTCACTTTAAACAATTCAGATGAATATGTTCAAACTCCGCCTTTCCAAGTATTGAAATAACTTCTTTTTCTGGATGTGTTTGAGGATTTATTTTTATTCCCTGTATATTTAGATTTTAATGAACTCCATCTGGCTTCTGCATTTGATCAGGCAAGCTTGGTGGGGGGAGAATCAGCTTCTTAAATTTAATGTAGTCTTTAGTTTGGATGTAAGTAGGGTTTAAAAGGAGCTGGGCAAAACAGCATATATTTAAAAGGCCTCCAAAACTTGATGCAATATTTTATGGCTGGAAGTAAATCTGAATAGCAGTGCTGTTAATACAGACAATTGTTTCATTTTCTGACTAAAGTTGTTATAAAGCGTATCTAGGATTTTAGTGGATATTTTGCAATATGATACATAATGTTAACACTTTTTTTAAAAAAATGCATTGTTGAACAATTAAATTTCCCAGAAACTTTGGCTGTAGAAGAAATGGCCTTGGTATGTTTAAATAAATTTAAGTTCTTACTGTGACTTACTATTGTGATATGATGACGTTTTGCTCTTCAGTTTAAAATTACTTTCACTGGGAGCTAATTAAAATCTTTTCCCATCGTCGTCGTCTTCTTCTGTTAAATTTTCACCATTGTTATTGTAAATTTGATGCAGTAGTTCAAAGCTGTCATTTATGAGATTCACTTTTTGTTTCCTTTGTTTGCTTTAAAATTACTACTATGCAATGTGGATTGAACCTAGCACATGACTTCAGACAGAACAAGAAAATCAAGCACATGAACCCAAAAACTAACTTGGGATAAAATCTTTTTCCCCTGGTAATCACTGACTTACAATTTTCTTTTCTTGCATATTACTCATGCGGTTTAGCAAGGTGAAGTATAAATGAACAGAAGCAGGAAAACTGCATGATAAAGTAATATATTAAGATGTGTTTTCAGTATTTGTGTCATGGCTAATTCAAATCAACTGATGTATCCAAAGAGACACTTTAGGTACACCAAATGGTTTAAAGACACTGTCACAAATTGTTTGTGAAAGTCCCTAACATATTGAAGTAGTTTGCCTTGTGGCTGGAAAAGCTGATTGGGAAACACAAGCCAAAAACCTCATGGGGAGTATTGTATTACTTTTGCTGATCTTTGAATTCCAGATAATATGTAAAATTCATATCCTGCCTTACTACTTTCTTAGTGTCCCCCCATGAATTTTTTCTACAAACATTTAATAACTAGCAAGGTATATAACAATCAGTTTTTAATATTATTTATGTAGAAGACTGTAAAACAATAGTGATATATACATTTTAAAAGCACACCTTAATTGTTGGGTATATTGTGAATCTGAGGGCTATATTTATATTCATAAAGCATACCTGAACACAGAACTGTCCCATATCTGGAGTAAAAGGTAAGCCTTTGGGGTATGCAGAAACGTTCTTAATGGTGCTTGTTGATACTTGGGTGGCATGTTAATATAAAATTAAAAATACCAAGATGTTCTTTAAAAAGCTAGTGAAAGCCAATGTTCATGATTTTTCATAGTCAACTTCTTGAGAGAGACTGTTTTGCATCAATATATTATGCTCTTGACAGCTATTAAGGGTTTTTTGCCATTAACATATGAAAGAGTCCTCTTAAATGAATGCTAAGAAAACCTGTATATTCAACTGAGTAGGTGCTGATGTAGTCTTACTGTGTAATAACCAAATCATTCATAGTTATTTGTTCTTGTAGTTTGAGTTGTCGCTCTTAACTGGGCATGCCATTCTAGATATTAAAAGTTATTTTTATAACTGAGATATTAGCACCTTCAACTGTTAGCTTGCATTCACGTAAAGTATTTCTAAAATTATCACAGTAAAACAGAAGAAACGAGCCATACCCCAATTACAGTTAAATAAGGCAGTCCTTTCTCTGTAAAGATAAAACTGTCTAGTTTGTGCTGAAACCATTCATATAATTTCACAAATTATAACGCATTGTGTTAAATGTTTCATGGTTTTTCAACTGTATCCAACTATTAAAACAGTATGGTTTCCAAAATTAAATACAGGTGCAGAATTTGAGTGATCCTGTTGGACTTCTATGAACCAAGTTGTTGACTTTCTAGCTTTAGCTATTTATTGCAGTCACTTAAGGCCTAATCTCTCTGAGGTGGTAAACCAATGATGGGGCTGTATTTTTTCACACTAATGGTGGGAACACATATGATCTAATTTTCTTCCATGCAAAACAATTGTTTCTGCATAGAAAACGGTATTGCAGAGAAAAGTTGAAAGTACTTAATTATAATTCTTGGTTCCTTCTTAGCTGACCTAGCCTAGCAATGGCCACAGCTCATCTCCTTCACACAATGGACCTTGTATCATAAAGGATAACAACACTCACTGGATCACAGTGGCAAAAAACTATAGGGAACCAGGAGATGGATACAGTATGCAGGTTCTAAAGTTTTAAGGATGATCAGAACAGCCAAAGGTCATGAGCTGGAAAAAGAGGTAAATGCCAAAGATCATGTTTTGAAGAACAGGCTTTGGACAAAAAAAATTACAGTATAATAAACTAAAGTTGTAGAGGGAGTATCAAAGAATAATGTCAGTGTTTGACTGAGAAAAAAGGTTAATAATTGAACCTAAAAAGCCCACAAAACAGCAGTTGTGGTGTTGGTTCATTTAATGAGGACTCAAAGGTGATGTGAGCACTGTGGAGACAACCAGTGCATTTCTACCTTCACTTCACTTATAAAGTGAGGCAAAATTTCTTTGTATCACAATAAGCAAACCCCAATAAGCAAGCAAACTGGAATTCATACTGCAAATAATTTGTTATTCACTTACTATATGCAGAGATTTTACATTTCATTTATGAAAGAAACATTGTACCTTTATATTACCAACCCATCTATATATATAAAAGAAAGTTCCCTCACCGTAAAATCAATGCCCAGGCCAAACCGCTGGACCTAGAAACATGAAATTTGGGAAGAGCACTCGTATCATGACATAAGATATTCACTAAGGGGATTTTTAGAAATTTGACCCCTAAGGGGGTTAAAAGGGGTAAAATTTGCTCCCTCCATTGATTCCTATGTGTCTGCCAGGCTGCTGCCTCCTTGCACCCCCCACTCTTTGACTGGTCAGCTGCAGAGCTCAGTGTTCTGAGGTAAAAAACACACACACAGTAACGGGACTGCAGAGAGCTCATGACAGTTGAGGAAATCAGGAATGGCCAAGAACCACCTGTGAGGTGCAGTAATACTGCTGGCCCAGTCTCTCTGATGGCTTCCAACACACTCCCCCCACCTCCTACACCTAACAGGTGGTTGTCAGGTGCAGCAGCGGTTGCAGGGTGTTTAAAGCTATGAGGGAGCCTGCCCCAATAGTAATGCCTTAGTGATCCTGCCGGCCCCGCCTCTACAGTGGCTTCTAATACTCCTCTCCCTCCTACACTGGACAGGCAGCTGCCTGTCAGGTGTAGGCGAGGAGCTGGGATGCTTACAGCCGCAGGGGAGGTTTGCTTAGCAGGATTGCCTTAGCCCTGCTGGTGGCCCAGTCTCCCTGATGTCTTTGAATACAATCCTCCCCAACACCAGACAGGGAGGTATTTGTCATGTGTAGGAGCAGGGCCAGGGTACTTTAATCCATCAGGGATGCTGCCCCAGCAGGATCACCTTAGCGATGCTGCTGGCCCAGTCTCTCTGATGGCTTCCAACACAATCCCCCACCTCCTACACCTAACAGGCAGTTGTCTGTTGGGTGCTGCAGTGGTTGCAGGGTGCTTAAAGCCATGAGGGAGCCCGCCCCAGCAGTAATGCCTTAGTGATCCTGCCAGCCCTATCTCCACAGTGGCTTCTAATACTCCCCCCCGCTCCTCCTACACTGGACAGGCAGCTGCCTGTCAGGTGTAGGGGAGGTGGGACACTTACAGCCACCAGGGAGGTTTGCTCAGCAGGATTGCCTTAGCCCTGCTGCTGGCCCAGCCTTCCTGATACCTTTAAACATAATCCTCCCCCCAACACCAGACAGGCGGGTGTTTGTCAGGTGTAGGAGCAGGACCAGGGTACTTTAATCCATCAGGGACGCTGCCCCAGCAGGATCATCTTAGCGGTGCTGCTGGCCCAGCTTAGCCACACTCCCACCCACAATGGAAATATACCCCAAATTTTTAGCAAACTGGTTTCCCTTATTAGGTTATTCTACTTCTCACAATATGGGTTTTAGAAAATTGGTTCATATGAACTTGCTTAATATCTGATTGCTCGGATGGTGTTTTGAATATGTTGTTATGTCCCAGTTCTAAAATGTAACATAAATGAGAAGCATTTTTGTAAAAAAAAAATAAAAATGAGGGGTATGCCCTCCCTCCCCAAATTCAATGTCCAGGCCAAACCCCTGCACCAAGAAACCCAAAATAAGGGGAGAGCATACCCCTAAGGGGGTATAAAGGGGGCAAAATGTGTTTCCCCAATCATTTTCCATGTGCCTGGCAGGCTGCTGCCTCCTTGTCCACCCCCTCCCTGATTGGTCAATTGTGTAGTTCAGAGTTCTGAGGCAAAACCTGCCTACTTGCACCCACTTCCCTCTGATTGCTCAACTGTGGAT